CTGTCCTGTTGTAGTTGAGCCTTGGTTGCTGTTGGCGTCACTGGGAAGAATTGACCTGCAGACCAATCAGCTGTGAGGACCAGGTACAACTACAGAGCCAAAGAGCTGCTGTGTTGGAGACACTNGAGCTGCTGTGCTGGAGACACCCCTATGGAGCAGGATTTACTTCAGTGGAGCTTTGGTGTTCACCAAGTGTGCCCCTTGAATGTGTCACTCGTGGATGTGGTAGGGTTGTAATCCAGCGTGGTCGAGTCTGATCACCAGGTGCACTGTCTCTGGGGCCTCCCTGGAGGTGCAAAGTCAGCCCGTGCCAGTGCCTTGCCCAGGGCCACCCAGCATGAGCTACACAGCAAACTGTAGTTGGCTGTTCCTTGTGCTGGGATTGGAGGTGTCCAGGAGAGGCCGAGCTATGAGCCAATGCAGGCTGCCACTAGTGCCAGGCCTGGGGCTGCTTATCAAGCCCTATGGGGCCCTCTGCTGCTTGTTTGAGAGATTTTAGGAAAGTCCTAAGCATAAGGTTTGAGAGGCCACTTACACAGAAAAGCCACTGGAAATGGCCTGGATGAGCTTGCAGATAGAAAGGGGCGGGGCCTCCAGGATCACAGAGTGGGGCCAAAGGCGTGAGTCAGGTGCTAGCGATTCAAATATGGTGCCTGCCTGCCGGCTGTGTGTGGGGAGGACTCGCCAAAGGAGCAATGGCCTCTGCCAGCTCTTCTGCCTGGGAGGAAGCTGCCCCTCCAGCTCTCGCTCCAATTTCAGGCAGGTTAGTTCCTCCCCAAATATCCCAGGTCCTTTCAGGCTGCTGCCCGGCGCTGGGCTCAGAGGGAGCGTGTCTGAGTGAGTCCGTGCGCGGGCCCTTTAAGAGGAGCTGCTCGGGCTCTCTCGACCCTCAGCCACAGTCCCAATTGGTTTTCACAACCCGAAGTTGTGGGGGCGTCTATTCCTGGCCATGGAGCCCTGGGCTGGGGGCCTGCTGTGGGCCTGGGANCGGGCCCTTTAAGAGGAGCTGCTCGGGCTCTCTCGACCCTCAGCCACAGTCCCAATTGGTTTTCACAACCCGAAGTTGTGGGGGCGTCTATTCCTGGCCATGGAGCCCTGGGCTGGGGGCCTGCTGTGGGCCTGGGACCCTCACTCCTCCGGGAAACCTCCACCGCTGAGATTCCCTCCTGGGTTTAACCCGCGGCACCGGGTGTGGGCCCTCCGGCCGTGTCTCTCCGATTCAGCCCCATTCTGTCCACGTCTCTGCCCCTCCTACGGATCTCAGTGCTGCCTCAGTTCCCTGGTTGTGGGGCTTCTGTTCAGCCAGATCTCAGGAGGTTCTGAGTGATGGTGGTTCTGTATTTTAGTTGTAATTTTGATGTGGCTGCGGGAGGCGGTGGGTGCAGCTGTTACCTACGCGCCATCTTATTTCACTTTCTTTATGCTTTTAAATTAATGTCACTGTTAAGAGTCAGCTCCAAATATGATTTCCAGGGGGAAAAAATCTGTTTTGTAGGACAAAGCCAGTACTGATGAGCAAATTATTTTAATTTGTCCATAATTTCAAATATGTAAAATTTTAGTTCTCCACCTCCATCTACAGAAGATAAATCCTCAGAGGTCGGTTATGGGCGAAGTATTTCTTCTTCATCTTCTTTAAGAAGATCAAGTAAAGAAAAGGCTAGGTAAGAAAATGATCTTTTACCTGCACTCAAATAATTCTCCTCTTACTGTGGGAGTAAAAAGAATTAGATTTTAGATTTTGGTGAACCATTCTTAGATTCTTCTTATAGTAATATAATTTCATAATTGGTTTTTTAAGTTGCTAGGGAAAGGATCTCTGGAAAAGGAGGCAGGAAACCTGGTTTGACATTCTGTCTGCTGAGAGCCTACAGTGAGGCCTGGAGCACATGATTTAGTGTCTGTGAGCAAGCTTAGTTTCTTTATCTGTAGATGGAATAATGCCTGGTGCCCTGCTTTGTAATGGTGAAAGGAATCAAAACATACGGGAAGTGAAAATGCCATACAAATTATTAAATGCCTTCAAATGTATTGTTATTTTCCGTATGATTGAAATTGATCCTGTTTTTTTACAAATGACAAGAAAATTTATTATTTTAGTGCTGGATTTGGATCTCCCACAGAAGATAAGTCAGAACCTACTTCTGGACGAAATACCACTCTTAGCAAAAGCGCCATGAAAGAAAAGGGATCGAGGTAAGAAATGTGGTGTTTATTCTTCCCCTAATTGTAACCAGGTCAGGTTTTAATTACCCAACACAGTTGGTGAAAGGAGGGGGTGGCTTTTAAATGGGAAGCTTTTCTTATGGAATCAGTATGTTGAACTAAGCCGGACTCATGAAATGTAATTAAAATTAACTTTATTTTTGTCTCCTGCTGTCTCTCAAACTTACCCAGAGGGATTTCTTCTCCTGCCTCTGGGTGAGATCTCAAGTCACTTTGATCATTATGAAGTCGTACAGTCACTTTAATTAAAAAATGACAGCGGAAGCAGTCTCTAGTCAGTCATTTAAAAGTCCAACCCTGTGTAGTATCCAACTTAAAATGAACTTTGCACGCCCCGGTCACACTGGCTAGAGGGAGTTCTCTCTCTCCCCCTGCTTTGTGCATCCCCACCCCGCCCACCTGGTCACCCATCTCTGATCCCAGAGGTAGTGAAGGTAGCTCAGAGAGGGAGAGGGAAACAAGGGAAACAGGACCAACATCTCATTTGGTTGAAATATGTTGAATGTGGTTTTGTGCTTTTTAGGCCTGGCATATTTAAACATACTTTATACCTGTCTACATATTTTTTAATATTAATATGTTATTTCTCTTGTGAGCACTTTCCTGGACTCTTCAAAAACCCTCTGGACCTCTTGCCACACACTCCATGACTCTTCGGTTATTTTCCACTTCAGCCCTCACAAGCATTGTGGTATTGGAGTCTGTTTGGCCTAATATGGACCATCTCTTTTCTAAACTGAGACTGTCCCCTCAGGTCCCTAAGGTGTGAGCATGGCTTGTTCTTTTCCTCAGACCTCAGAGCTGTTTGTGTTCTATTTCTGACTTTGTTTTTATTGTCGGTCTCTGTTGCTCATTTTTCTGATCTCTGCCTCTAACCTGCCACTGTGGTTCCAGCCCTGACAACTTTTGCCCTCCCCCTTCCTTTTCCTCCTCTAGGGGCCTCTTTGCTTCTCCTCTACTGGACTGAGAGCTCCTTGAGGACAAGAACATGTTCTGATTTGAATAATTTCTCTTTTCATCCCCAGTATTTAGCACCGTGCTTAGTTTTCATATGTAGGCATTCACATTTGTTCAAGATAAAAATCTGAACTTTTGCAGGAAATGGTTATTTTTGACATGATCCACATTTATAAATTATGTGTCTTGAGCAAATAAGTTACCTTTTCCTTGCATGAGTTCCCTAATCAGTAAAATGGAAAAAATAAATTAACAGATCATCTACTAGATTCCAGGAATTGTTCCAATGTGGGAAATAGAGCAGTGAACAAAAACTCCTGTCTTCATAGAACTTACATGCTAGTGGGGAGACAAACAACAAACAAAATAAACCACACACACATACACACACTCTCTATATAAAAAATATATAGAGAATATATATTCTCCTAATCCCAAAATAAATTGTATCTTCACTTGGTAGAATAGACTGGGTAGAAACAGGACACCCAATGGAATAGATTTCTTATTTTTTCACTCAAATGGAATTCATTGAATGCTGCCTGGTATTATGATTATTTTTCCACTTACCAAAATCTTTCTACTTAAATAAAAACCCCAAATGGGTTGGATTCATTTCTCCTTCCAGCCTTGTCCTATAGTTTATATATTCAACTAGTTGATGATAACAAAAAAGAGCAAGTGATTAAACTTTGAAAATGTCAGTACACAATTTGGGGCCAAATATTGCTCTCTACTTACCTACCTGCCCATGCATTCTCTTATGAAAATAGAAAATATCCTAATTGTTTTGGATCCACACAGTAAATCTCTGTTTTCTGAGGTAGGTTTGCTAAGGTCTCTGCAAGAAAGGTAAAAATTCTGCTATCTTTCATCATAAATTGATGTTCTTTCTGAGAATTAACTTTATAGGAATTAATTTTGTAATTTCCAGGTGATTGTTTCTGTATTTATTTAGAAATGCAATTCATGTAGGCAGTGAAGCCCTTATTAACACAACTTGGCAGCCTTTGTGGGAAAGTAGTCCAAATGAAATGATTCTATTTTTTAGCAGCAGTCAAGGACAGTACAGGAGTTTGGGTAAATTACCTATTTTTAATCACTCAGTGGGATGGCTCTCTCTGATGGTAACATCTTCTACATGCCAAGTGATTTTTCTTACGCTTCAGGCAGCACACCCAGCGAGAAGTATACCTCTTTGTTTTACAGGTGGTTCTGCGTAATCACAGGGTCGAACTCTCCAATCTCATAAACTTATCCTGTAATTTTAGAAAGCAAATAAACCTATCTATGCTTTCTACCATTCTAATTGACCTTCCTAGTGTTGGTTCTTAATTTACAAAAATCTTACTATGTATGTGAATATGTTCAGTTTATTTATTTTACAGAAAAGAAATGGGTTAAGAAGATACAGCTGAGAAATATTAAATTTTGCTTAGAGATTTTATATTACATTGTATCTTAGATTGATACAATCCTATGATTTTATTCAGGTTTCCCCAGTTTTATTTCCAACGTGTGTGTGTGTGTGTGTGTGTGTGAGAGAGAGAGAGAGAGAAAGAGAGAGAGAGAGTGTATATGTTTAGTTCTATACAATTTTATCACATCTGTAAGTTCATGTGTCTATGACTACAATTAAGATAATGAACATTTTGCCCTGGCTGGTGTTGCTCAGTGGTTAGAGCGCCGGCCCTCACACTGAAGGGTCTCGGGTTTGATTCCCAGTCAAGGGTACGTGTCTGGGTTGTGCAGGTTCAGTTCCGGCCTGATTGGAGCATGAGCGAGAAGCAACACATCAATGTTTCTCTGTTTCTCTCTCCCTCCACCCTTCCATTCTCTCAAAAAATCAGTGGAAAAAATATCCTCAGGTGAGGATTAACAAAAACAAAACAAAAAGATAATAAACATTTCTATCACCACATGGATCTTTCACGTTTAATTTGCTTCAGCACCGTTTGTTGAAAAGGCTATCCTTCTTTCATTGAATTGTTTTTGTACCTTTGTTAAAATCAGTTGAGCTTATTAGTGGGTCTACTTCTGGGTCTTCTGTTCTGTTGCATTAATCAGTGTGCCTGTCTCTCCACCAGGATCGCTCTGTCTGGATTACTGTAGCCGTATAGTAAGCTTTGATATCAGGTAGGAAGGTTCTTCCTACTTTATTCTTCTTTGTCAGAATTGATTTAGCTATGCTGTGCCTTCCTGTATGAATTTTAGAATAAGATATTTTTTATGTCTACAAAAAACTCTGCTTGGATTTGATAGGAGTTATATAAAACCTAGCGATTAGTTTGGAGAGAATTTACATCTTTCATATGTTACATCTTTAAATCTATGAACACTATGTCCTATCCTTTATTTAGGGCTTCTTTGATTGCTTTTCACAGCATTTTAAATATTCTGTACTCAGATTCTTTACATATTTTGCCAAGTTTATCCCTAAGGATTTAACTCTCTTGGAGCAATTGTAAGTGCTCCAAAACTTTTTTGTTTTTCACATGTTTGTTGCTACTCTATAGAAACACAATTTTTGTATGTTGTCCTTATATCTTGAAACCTTGACAAACTCACTTGTTAGTTCTAGGAATTTTTTTGTGGGTTTTTAAATTTTCTTTCTTTTCTTTGTGTGTGTGTGTAGATTCCTTGGGATTTTCTACATAGACAATTGTATCATCTGCTTTGTCTTTACTTTTTGATAGCTTTACTTTCGTGTGTCTGGAAGTGAAATTCTTTGGGTTTATCTTATTGATATTTACTAAAATTGTTGACTATGTAGATTTATATTTTTAACCAAATTAAGGAAGCCATCTCAGTCCTAATTATTCATTCTTTTTGATACTTCATCTTTCTCTTCTTCTGGGTATTTAATGACACCAATATTGGGTCTTTTTTTATTGCACAACAAGTCCCTGAGACTCTGGCAGTTGTTGTTTCAATCTTCTGTTCTTTGTGTTGTTCAGATTGGATAATTTTTATCAATCTATCTTCAAATTTATGGCTTATTTCTTCTGTTATCTCTATTCTATTAAAGCCATTGAGAAAATTGTATTTTTCTAAGTTTTGGTATTATATCTTCAGCTCTGAAGTTCTATTTTTATATCTCCTATTTCTTTCTAAAATTTTCAAACTCTATTCATTTCAAGAGTGCTTGTTACTAATTACAGCATTTACATCTGTGTCACCTTGGCATTGATGTCTATTGATTGTCTTCTCATACGAGTTGAGGTTTTCCTGGTTCTTTGTATGCTGAGTAATTAGATTGTAATATCATGTTATGAGTGCTGCAGTTATTTATGGGTCTTATATACATTCTAAGAAGAATGTTCCTTTGTTACTGTGTGTACTAGCAGATAAGTGACCCAGTTGCTCTCAGTCTTCAAATTCCAACCAGTGATCTGTGAGTTGTCATTCCACTGTCAGTCCCATGTTCAAAGGTTTTGCAGTACTGTTTGGATCAGCTCTGTATGTGTGCCAACTAGTGTCAAGTTTGGGTCTTGGGTGGTCGTCTCTCCCATAGTTCCATCTTCAAAACCTATGAAGGTGGTTTTTGGGGTCAGAACTATGCACACAACAGCTTGAGAGTAAGCCTAGGAATCCATAAACAAATATATATGGCTGTTTTCCTGAGTTCCTTCCTCTCCATAATCTCATTTATCTTTTCTGGTTCATTAGGGCTCCCCTTTTGGTCCTCAAGCAGAAAACTTTATATACTCTGCCCTAATATACTCTTGCCATGACTGCATCCATATCTACAGCCAAACAGCAGAAAGACTAAATGGATCTAAGGTCATTGAGTCTTAGCGACCCTGATGACACCACTGCCACCTCTGTCACAGGATTCCTTAGGGAGTGGAGCACAAGAGAACAGAGGAAAATAAGGGGAAACGGCCTTTTCCCACTCCACTCTCTCTTTCCTGTTCCTCAAACAGGCTTCTCCTTGAGCTTTTGCTGCCTGTGCTGATGCCCAGTTTCAGATGGGGGGCTATGCTTAGTTCAACTTGTAGAACAGTGGACAGAAAAAAAAATTAGACTCACCAACAGTTCAGTAGTAATTCAGTGTCTTCTCTGATCTTTCTGCTATTAATTACTTTTCAGAGTCTTTAAATAGCTATTGGGAGTATCTTTTCCACCAGACAGAAATAATTTGCATCTTTACTAAAATCTATGTGATAACTAGTAACTTCTCTAAGTCTGGAACTGTTAATTAATAGTATCTTTTAATTGAACAATATCTTCACTGTTTACTAAATATATTCCATTTTTCCTAAGTACAGAACTAAGTACATTTCACTGGGATGAGGGAGTAGAAGTGAGCAAAGGAGGGATAAATGGGGACAGAAAGAGACTTTTACTTTGGGTGAGGGGGACACGGTGCATTGTGCAGATGATGTTTTATTGAGTTGTACACTTGAAAACTGTATGGTTTTATTAACCAATGTCACCTCAATAAATTCAATTAAAAAAAAGAACTAAGTGCATTTCCCCAGATAAACTTTCGGTGAGTCTTTGTCGCTGCATGACATGAATTCCATACCATCCTGGTTTTGTTTTGCTTTTTTCTATGTTTTGAATATTTTTTCTTAAAAGTTGTGATCCACATTCTTCCTTCAGAAGGTGTCAACTGAAGCAAGAGATGATATAAAATTGGCATAAACTCCCTGAGAAGGCAACCTAGTTTTATTTAATTCAATAAATCTTTATTGCATACTTATAATGGGCCAGACAGCTTGCTGTGCAGTTGTGCAGAAGACCAATAGACGATTTTCATAATGTGTGTGTGTGTGTGTGTGTAGTGTTCTCTTGAAATTAATTTCTCCTGCAAAACAAAGACACTCTAAAACTCTATCATTGTCATCGAAAATTTGACAGCTATAGGAGTGTTCGCTGAGGTATAAACACCGTATTTCTGGGATGTTCTTCAGATGAACTCAGAGTACAGTTAGTGCTTATTCATTTTGTGATTTTGATTGTTTGCTGCTTACCCTTCAAGGAAAAGCAGAGGTAAAAAAGAAGAGGAGAAACTGAAGGAGGAAGAAGAGGTTACGGCTGTGCTAAAAGGGGCCAGAGAAGGCAGCTCCGACAAAGAGTGGGCCCCGCCCTCCGACCCCGACTTCTGTGTGTATGTGTATGAAGTGACCAAGTCAATACTCCCCATAACCAACATAAGGGAGCAGATTGAGGCTCTTGCAAAGTAAGTGGTCTGTATGTGCATATACAATTCTGGAAAAATATTTTTTATTTTAGTGGTTTGCATTTTTTTAGCCAATTTTTGGATAACGACACCATAATGAAATTGAACTTTATAGCTCCCTACCTCTGACTCTGAAGCCAGAACTACAATGAATTGGGGGGGG